TTTTGTTGGCATCCCTGTAGTTGTAGTTCAGTCCCCGGGTGAGAACGGCTTTTTCCGCGTCTGTCAGTTTCCTGTCGGAGAGGTATATCTAAAGCTAAATTAGCCATGTGTTCAGTAGTGAACATTATGCAACACATTGAACAGAGCAGTGAAAGAAACCAGTCCAGACAGGGAAAATGGTTGAACAGCAATGGCAAGAGTTTCTGGGCTAATTCGGGAAGCTCAGCAGAAATTCATCCTAAGGAAGAAGAAGCATAATGAAGGGAGTGTGAAGCAACTATGCACAATGCCAATAAATCACCTGGACCAGATGGACTACACCCCATAGTTCAGAAGGAGATAGCTGAGGAGCTTATAGAGCCATTAGAGGTGATTTTTAAGGAATCATTGGAGTCAGGGACAATCCCAGAGGACTAGAAAATGGCTAATGTAACACCCCTGTTTATGAAGGGAGGGAGGCAGAAGACAGGAAATTATAGGCTGGTTAGCTTGAACATAGTCGTTAGTAAGATTTTCATCATTAAGAATGAGATTGCTGAGTAGTTGGAAGCACCTTGGGCTGAGTCAGCACAGCTTTGTCAAGGGAAGGTCATGCTTGAAAAGTCTGTTAGAATTCTTTGAGGAGGTGACAAGCAAGTTGGTCAAAGGAGAGCCAGTAGACGTGATCTGGTTGGATTTCCAGAAGACCTTTGACAAGGTGTCTCATAGGAGGCTGCTCAAGAAGCCAAGAGCTCATGGTGTTAGGTGCAAGGTACTGGATGAGGCAAACACGCATGACATGAATAAATCACCTGGACCAGATGAACTGCATCCCATGGATAGAAGATCGGCTGACTGGCAGAAAGTAGAGAATGGGGATAAAGGTTTGTTTTTCAGGATGGCAGCTGGTGATTAGTGGAATTACACAGGGGTAACACACTATTCACGTTATATGTTAATGATCTAATGAAGGGATTGAGGACATTGTTTTCTCCAAGCTTCCTAACAAAGACAGTGCTGAGGAAGCGGGAGGCTGCAGAAAGACATGGACAGCTGGGAGAGTGGGCAAAGAAATGGCAGATGGAATACAGTGTGGGAAAGTGTGAGGTTGTGCACTTTGATAGGAAGAATAGTGATGTAGACTATTTTCAAATCGTGAAAGGATTTCGGAATCTGAAGCACAAAAGGACTTGAGAGTCCTACTTCAGGATTCACTTAAGATGCAGGCCTAGTTGACAATTAAGAAAGCATATGCAATATTAGCATTCATTTCAAGCGGGCTAGGGTATAAGACCCGAGATGTACTGCTGAGGCTCTGGTCAGACCGCATTTGGAATATTATGAGCAGATTTGGACCCTGTACATGTTCTGGCATTGGAGGGAGTCCAGAGGAGATTCACAGGATGATCCTGGTGATGAAGAGCTCGTCAATTGAGGAATGGTTAAGGACTCCAGGTCACTACTTGATGGACTTCCGAAGGACAATGGGGAATCTAATTGAAAGTTACGGGAATACCAAAATGCCTGGATAGAGTAGACATGGAGAAGATGTTTCCACTAGTAGGAGAGACTGGGGTCAGAGTGAAGGGACGACGCTTTGGAACTGAGATGTATTTAAGACAAAGATAGCTCCTTGATGGGAAAAGGGATCAAGGACTACAGGGAGAATACTGGGAAATGGAGTTGATAAAAATATCAGCCATGATTTAATAGCAGAGCAGACTTGATGTGCCAAATGCCTAATTCTGCTCCTATGTCTTATAGTCTTATGAGAGACACTGCAAATATATTTGCAGCAGCAGTTTTGGACACCACTAATAGTATGCTTATGTTTGCTTTAATGAGGGTTCATATTTGTAAGAATAGTGTTGCTTCAGAATTGAAGGCTTGAACTGTTTTTTGGTTTTTGAATTGGAAGCAACTTGATCCTCAGGAGAGGGAAAATGCTCAGGATAGTATGCTTTTATTTTCTACATGTGCTCAGATATGTAACATAAACTCAGATGAATCACAGTGCAGGACATTATTGTCTCTGTTTTCTTACATTGGAAGCAGTTAATAGCTTGCATTAAAAATGTTACAGAAACCAAGGACTTAACTATAGTCATTATTCAGAGTTAATAGTTCAAGGTGAGAAATTTGCTTTGAAAATCTTGTTTTTTTTGAGTGGTTCCAAAATGAAATTGAAAGATTAAGTGATCACTTAGCTGTTCGATGTTTGATCTTTAATTTTATGAAATGCGGGGAGAGAGAGGTTATGTACTCTCTGCACCCTCTTTCTCGTGATTTTTTAAATACAGTTTTATGTTGTATTGGAATTGTATGGAACTTCATAATACACCTATGTCTAATGCATAAATTTTGTTACTGATTGTATGCACTGCTGTTCACTGCCAAGTACAAAATGAAATTCAGTAATTGAGAGTTCATAAGCTCTGCCCTCCCTTTTTAAGGCCAGCTTTGCATTAGCGAACAGGATTTCAACCAATCGCTCACTCCATCTACTTCATAAAATCAAGAATAAACATGAAACAGGTCATTGTTTAATCTTTTGACTTGACTTGATATCCCCCTGAGAAGCACCTTGGGATATTTTACTGTATTAAACTTGCTATATAAATACAAGTTATTGTTAGAATGAATGAGAATCACTCTGCCACTGTGTGAAAATGACATTTGTTGCTGTGATCAAAAGTGTAGGAGATCACTGTTATACAGTTTTAAAATGTTGGTTCAAATTCCAAATAGTCATGCTTTCAAAACTGTCAAAGTATTGATCTGAAAGTTTACACTGTGAGCTTTGCACAGATGACTAGCTATTTTGACAATTCTATTTTTTTTTTCCCCCATTCATTTCTGTGATGTGCGTGTCTCTGGTAAGGCCAACATTTGTTGTCCATCCCTAATTGCATTTTAACAGAGTGGCTTGTTACGGCCATTTAAGAGGGTAGTTCAGAGTCAACCACATTCCTCAGTGTCTGGACTCACATGGCCAGACTAAACAAAGACAAAAGATTTTCTCCTTTTACAGAATATTAATGAGCCAGATTGATACTTTCTCTGCAGAGAATTAGGCTAGGCATCTGGATTACCACTCCTATAATATTACCACCAGGCCATCTTCTTTCCCTTTGTAAAGAAGAGGTATACCCAGAACCTTTGTAATGGTATGATGGTAATAGGGATATTTAGTATAATGGTAATCTAATTTTGATATTAGATTATTAAAAGCTCTTGTTAGAAACCAAAGCCAGGTGACTTTGTTTTAACTTCATTTAGAAATTGCGTAGGATAATCAAAAACAGTCCATTTGGCTCAAACATCTATGCTGACATTTACATTCCTCCAATTTCCCTTATCTCCTTGTTCTCTTCATGCTCAGAGGATTATCTAACTATCCCTTAAATGCATCCGGGCTATTTGTCTCAATGATACTCCTTAAAGAGGTTTCCCCTGAATTCCTTATTTGAATCCATGGTGATTATCTTGTATTGATGGCCTTTGTAAAATGGAAACTCTCTCTCTATCTATCTGCTTGATCAACACTTTGTAATCTGAAAAATCTCTACTGGGTCACCCCTCAGCTTCTCTTTTCAAGAGAAATGGTCCCTAATGTGTTCATCTTTTTCTGATAGGTACAACCTCACAGTTTTGGCAAATCTGTTTTGTATTGTCTTTAATGTCTTTACATTTTTTCCATAATACATCAACTGTAACTGTCCATGGTACTCCTGGTGTAATCTGTCCAAGATTTGATACAATTCCTTCCATAACTTCGGTTCTGTCTTTTTAAAAGGAAATCTTCGTGCTTGTTTTGTTTTCTTTGCCTTGAGTCAGTGTCACTAATTTAGTGATTTGTACATTTGTACTTACATATTTCTTCACTCTTATATCCAAAATAGGTTCTTACTTTCTATGTAATATTCAAATTCCTTATTTTCTTGCCAAAATGCAACATACATCAACATTGAACTTCATTTGACAATTATATGTCCATTCAGCAAGATGATTAGTGCATTTTTAAAAGATTTTGTGTTGTATTACTTTTTATTAAATATCAATTTCCTCTCCACTCTCTGTTCCTCATTCTCTAATCTAAATGTTTTGTTGAAACTATTTTAGTACTTTGTTATATTGTGCTGAAAGGTGTTTTGGTTACTTCTGTGAAGTGTTTTCTTTAAAAGGATAAAATCAGAGTGTCCTCCTGAAGCAATGACTAATCCAGCAATTTGCCATAAAGCAGGTCATAGATCCTTGTGATGTTAATGGAAATATTTCTATACTGTTATGTTTACACTGGGCAGGACAAACATATGAGGCCACTAGCTTTGTTTTTAGTTTAGAACACTCTAGGGTTGAGTTCAGAAGACACCTGTGTTGAATTTAGAAGCAAGTTTAGTTTCTCTCCTAGAAGAAACCACTTTCAGGGCAGTTGAGACAACCAGCTACCTCAGCAGGAGAGTTCAGTTTGTAAAACATCCAAATGAGGAAAGGTAGATTAGAAATCTGCAGGTTATTAGAATGGAGAAAGTTTACACTCTCAGATTTGTGGAAAAGTTCTTGTAGAAATGGAAAGCGCTCCTCAAATTGTCTTCACAGTCCATGGCAAAGTAACTGTCGAGAGTCAATTAAGTAGGACTCTGAAGTTAGGGTACAATTATTTTGGACTTGAGTTTCTATAATGGATCGTGTCAGGAAACAATTTGAAACTTTGTTTTGCTGTGTGATTTAAGATCATTCTAACTGTCTTCAATAATTATTTAGTTACCTTGGTTTGCATTTTAAAAAAATCTCCTTTTGTGTAATAATCTTCTGTTCTCTTTATAAAGAAAGCCTATAATGTCATGTAAATATGTCTCCGTGACTAACTACCATGTTAACTAACTCAGCAGAGCAAATGAACTAATGATCTATCAAGCCTGGTCACATTCTGGGATCTGATTTGTCTAGTGGTAACATCAACTGGGATCAGAACAACACCAAATTGTGTGCAATTAAATTAAGTGTATGGTCTTTTCTGTTTCAATTGACAGATTTTGAAGACGAACTTCTAACTTGGCTGAAACAGATACTTTCCTACTATCTGAAAGTAATCCTTATCACTTCAACAAAGTTTAAGGTCAGTCTCTTGAAGCACCATGGGTTTGTTTGAATTGCTGAAATCTGGATTGGTACATACCCAAAGCTATGCAGAAACAAGCATGGCGTCGTAATTTGAAAACAATATCAGAAAATGCTGGAAATATCAAGTCCTTCAGCAGTGATGGAGAGAGGAACAGAATTAACATTTCTGATTAGTGACCTTGCAACAATTGTACTCTGTTATGATTGTCCAAAACACCATTATTGTGTAAATGTGTGCTGGTAAACCCCGAAATAATACCCGCTCCCTGAATACAACCGATTTTATATGGAATTAATCAAGTGATCAAGGAAACAGTGGTGATTAGGAAGTGGACAAAACCAAAAATTGAAGCCTAATGTGTGTTACAATATGGTGCTGGAGAGATAAACATTAAGTGCCAACAGGAAAATAATATTCTTTAAAAAGCATGTCTTTACTGCTGCAATTATCCATAACCACCATATAGTGTTCTACAAATGTACTAGACATGTGTTTGCATTGAGAATGACATCTTCCAGAATGGCTTGGAGAGAATTAAGTTAACAATTTTGGATTGTATTGGTTTTAAAGGATACAAAGAGTTAAAAATTCTCAAGACAGCAGCCCCCAGTTTCTAAAAGACATACAGTGAGATCATGGTAAAAAGGAAAATTAGTTATTGAAATACCCTAAATTTGCAACATGTCGGTGAAAGTTGTAATGATTACCTATCTTGTACCAATCTCAATAATAATTGGATGGTATTAAAAGATGTTTAATTCAGATTATTTCATTATTATGAGTGGGAATGAGTTTTGAAAATGCTTAGCTTATGTTGTTTTGTTTAGTTAGCGGAAATGAATAAGAAAACAACTAGACATTTCTTGAAAATAGTAGTGTAATAGTACACGTAACATTTGTTAGGTAGTGAAAATAACAATTTAATAGTTACCTACAATAATTAATAATTCCAAAAGGCAGATGTCACTCATTTTATAATATGTCTGCAGTGTAACGCATGTATGGAGAATGATGCCATATTGATGATATAAATGCAGTAGCTTTTTAAAATGCATGTGTATAGACAGAATCAGACTGACTCAACTCCCTTCAGTTGAAACCACTTGATGTACTTGTAATATGTTTCATGGTCAGTATGCCTTTAAGAGACATGCTTATGATATCATCACTTGGAGCATGTGACCTGAGAGTATACAGTCTCATGGTCCATTTCATTTCGGATCACTTGAATGATGACACTATTATAAGCATGCTGCTCAGTTATAATTTAATAGCTTGATATTAGCCGAGACAATTGTGTCCCTAAGAAATGTAATGTTTGTCCATATGAAAGTACAAGTTAGGAGCAGAAGTAAGCTAGTCAGCCCCTCAAGTCTGCTGCACCATTCCATAAGACCATGGCTGATCTGTTCCAAATTCCACTTTCCTGCCTATGCCCGATGACCTTTAATTCCCTTGACTAGCAAAAATCTATCTACCTCTACCTTAAAAATATTCAATGACCTTGTCTCTAGTGCCTTCTAAGACAGAGGATTCCATAAGGCCAAAAGATATTGGAGCAGAATTAGGCCATTCGGCCTTTTAGAGTCTGCTCCATTATTTGATCATGGCCGCTACCTTTCTCAAACCCATTCTTGTGCCTTCTCCCCATATCCCTTGATTCCTTTATCAATCAGGAATCTATCTGTCTCTGTCTTAAATACACTCAATGACTTTGTCTCCACAGCCCTCAGTGGCAATGGGTTCCATAGATTAAATACATCTGCCAGGTGTCTGCTCATTTTGCCAACTTGTTAATGTTCCTATGAAGTCACTCCGTGTCATTCTCACAATTCACTGTTCTCCTTAGCTTAGTATCATCTGGAAATTTAGAGATTTAGCCCTCAATATCAAACTCCAAATTATTTATATAAATCAGAAAAAGCAAGAGCCCCCAACACTGTTCACTGGGGCACACCACTTTCAACTCATCTCCAGTTTGAGGAATGCCCATCTATACCTACCCTCTGTTTCTTGTCATTTAGCCAACTTCTTGTCAAGGACCCATGAACCTCTAACATTTTTAATTTCCTAAACAACCTGCCATCTGGCACCATATTAAATGCTTTTTGAAAATCCAAATTTACCACATCCACAAGACTAACCTCAACTACTGCCTGTGTCAGGTTGTCAAAGAACTCAATTAAATTTGTCAGACATGACCTCCCTTGACAAAGCTATGTTCTCTGCCTAGTATTAACTTATTTTTCTCTAAGAGTAGTTTATCTTATCCTGTATTATGGCCTCCATCAATCTTTCCACTATTGATGTCAAGCTGAGAGATCTGTAGTTTTCCTGGGTTATCGTTTGTCCCTTTCGTAAACAACAGCATCACATACTGTGGAGAAAATTCTCCTGAACATAATCTAGAAATTACTGTCCCTTATATTCCCATGATCTCAGTCCACATATGAGTAATTTAAGTATATCCCATTACTATATTCTGTGGTGTTTACACCTCTGCAGTGTCCTTGCAGATTTGGTCTTCCACTTTCTTTTCACTAGTTAGTGGTTATGGCTCCTTCCCCAGTAGTACAGGAGGAAATGAAGTGTGTGGAATGGCCTCTTCAGAGCAGAGACTTGTGTGGATGCTGCCGAAGAGAGAATGTGTTGTAAAATAGAGGGAGAGGTTTGGATTATTTGGAATAAATGCACAGTGACGGTGGAGCAGCACAAAACATTACAATGGAACTTATTTGGGAGCCAGGATACAGAGCTCTCAGCATCACTACATAAGCAGACCTGGTTCTCTTCCACCAAGGCAAGGATTCTTTCTTCATGGGGTTGAGGAGACAAATGTCTTGCATCCCACCACCAGTGTTTTCTTTAACTTTCTTACTGGCTCCAAAGACCTCTGGAACTGGAAGTCAACACTGTGAATGATATGCTGACACTGATCACCATGCACACACACACACAGCCAAACAATTTAGAGGAAACACACCCAGTAGCCATCTCGCCCCTCTCTGCCCTCTTGTGCGTTGTTTTCTCCTGAAGTGAGATAAAGGAAGGGATTCAGTGAGATCAAAATGGCTGGCACAGCTTTTGGTGCTGGTGCAGGTGGGGAAAGCTGGTGAGGAGTCTCAAGTGAGTGAGTCGTAAGTGCATAAGGTTAGTAGATTCAGGACGCTTGAGAAGATGGGTGGTTTGGGTAGCTGAGAGGAATTGAGGGAAGATTGCATGCAATGGTGAAAGTGATAGACCATGAGCCCTGGTAGGCGGTATGTGCAGTGGCAGAATTAGAGTGAGTGACAGGCAGTGAGAGATGGTGGTGGTGCTTATATTTGTGGAATGCAGAATGTCATTAACCTCCTTCTTGCATCTCTGGGAATTCCTCTGGACACCATACTGAACCTCATGACAACTTCAGACCAGGCTGGCAAGATCTGGTGCTGTAGTCTTTTCTGATGGTCCTGAGGCAAAAAGACAGTCCTCTGCTTGGTCATCCGGTGCATCCAGGAACCTGTTGGCAAGGTGGGGTGCCAGCTTCCTTTCTTAGCCATGTCTTTTAGAATTGTGCAGCAACACACAGTGAATGGCAGCTCCTGGCTAGCAGTGTTTGACGTGGTACACAGCTGGGATTTAAACATGGCACTGGTGAGTATTTCTACTGCTGCTGAATGCAAGATAGGATGACAGTGGAGCTGTTGAAACATTGTGCTTACACAATAAAGTAAGCAGCGGAGAACTGCGTGAAATAACTTGCTAGACCCCACAGAGAGAAATCCTCCATGAAACTCCCCTGTCTGGCCTTCCTTCCTTGCTATCCTGCACTGGCTTTAAGGTTTGAACTGTCCATTTCCTAAGGTTCCATCACAAGATCTGTGAGAGAATTTTGGAGATAAAGACATACTGCATACTGTCCACAAATTTATTCCTCAGTTTGCCTGATTTGTGGAAATACACCATATTATTAAAGCTAAACTAAGGCATCATGGGTAGGACCTTTAGCAAGCTGAATATATAAACAGTATATGCTGGAAACATAATGCATATTTATCAGAAATTCGTAACATGAAATAGATTCATGCTTCTGCGATCCTTCTGCAAAATTCCAATTCAGATGTAAGTTGTAAACCTGAAAGATTTAACCTCCTGTTTCTCTTTCTTTTACTGAAGGACCTCTTGTAAATCTCCAGAATTTTCTAATTTTATTTCAGATTTACAGGGTTCCATTATATTTCTTTGTATTAGCCCAAATGTGAGATTTTGAATGTATCTGAACTGTAGTTTATTACTGTGTTGTTCTCTTTTTATTAGGTTCTGTAACTCTTGGAGGATGCCAGTTTCAACGAGCGCTTTACAGCAGATGGCTATATACTTGGGAATAGTATCTGGAGGAGGATGTGCAGTTATGTATTACCTTATGCAACGTAAGAATACAAAAACACAACCTGTTAGTCTTATTTGTTCCAAAGCCTTATTCGGATATGAGGTAGGTATCATAGACATGGCTGAGTAACAAACTTAGCAATAGCATCATATTGAAAAATTTGTGGTAAGTCAGAAGACTGGTATGCATTTAAGAAAAAGCAAAGAATGATTGAAATAAAATAGAGGGAGAAAGTAAGTTTTTTTTTAAAGTAAGTGAGTAATGTAGAATCTCTCTCTGTTTTAATTAGTGTTTAAATTGGAAAAGGGTAACTAAAGCTGATGTTGGTCCTCTACAGAGAGAGACTGGGGATTTGATGATAAAAAAGAAACGGACGAACAGATTGAACAGGTATTTTGCATCTGTCTTCGCTGCAGCAAATTTAGAAAACTTCCCATAGATATTGCTATACTATGCAGTTTGCTGTGCAGCAGTATATTACATCAATCTCACATCTTGATCACGAGCCAGCAGCTTACGTGGCAAACTAATTGTTATGTGCAGCAAGCAAACAGCCATGTCTCAAATTCACCGGGCGTATTCTCACTGAAGTCCAAGGAGGCACCATCAGTCAGAGAGTCCTGGCACACTGAATCAGGGCAGCCTCCCATACCTATCTAGGGGATAGGACGTCTGACCGTGGCCTATTGAGATGAACATGGTTAGGGGGTTTGTGCTTCTGCAATCTCTGGGGAGTTAGCTGCAGTCAGTCCAGTGACTGCATAGAAACCAGTCTTTGGGGTAGGGGTAACATGGTCAGGGAGAGACACAAGTTTCAGTCAGGGGTCTGGACACTTCTTACCTCGAGCTACCCAGCAAGGTTGGTTAACGGGGCTGGCCATAGTCACCTATCGGGTTCACAGGAAATATAGACATAGAAAATAGGAGCAGGAGTAGGCCGCTTTGCCATTCATTATGATCATGGCTAATCACCCAACTCAATAGCCTGTTCCTGCTTTTTCCCCATACCCTTTGATCTCTTTGTCCTAAGCGCTATATCCAACTCTTTCTTGAAATTGTACAATGTTTTGGCCTCAACTACTTTATGCGGCAGGAACTTCCACAGGCTTACCTCTTTTGTGAAGAAATTTCACCTCGACGCAGCCCTAAATGGTTTACCCCATGTCCTGAAACCGTGACCCCAGGAAGGGGCACCTACGTGAGGTCCTTTTAAGGGGAATGGACATTGCACACAGACCCATGCGCTGTATAAGAGATAAACCTGCAGGTTCCCTAATCCTGGCCATGCCAATGCATTGGCTCCCTGTGCACTGCAGCTTCTCTGCCCCAGACATTGCTGACCATCTCATTCACACCAGCACAGAGGCCAGCGAAAGAATAGGGATTTTTAGGATGAGGGTCATTGGTGCCAGCAGAACCCATTGTCCTATATACATCTTATTCCTCTCGCTTCCACATTCTGCAGCAGGTTTCAATACAGACGTAGATTTATGGTATATCCTGTGATGACATGAAGTTAGGCATTCTTTCTTGCACAGTTTCATGTAGCACTACACAGTGACTCAAACAAATGGATGTAGAGCAAGAAGAATCCAATTTATACAAATGCAAGACTTCATATACAGTGCAAAGTTAATTGTGCCAACAAAGTATCAAGGGGTGATGGTTAGTTTCTCTCATTAGAGACTATCATTGTCTGGCATTTGTGTGGTATTATGAATGTTACTTCCAACTTGTCAGCCCAAGCTAGAAATTGTCCAGGACTTGTTCCTTTTGAGCTTGAGCCATTTCAGAACCCGAGAAGTCATAGAGTCACAGAATCTACAGCATGGAGACAGGCCCTTTGGCCCAAACTGGTCCGTGCTGAACAAAATGTCCATCCACACTAACCCCATTTCCCTGTTCTTGGCCCATTTCCTTCTAAACCTTTCCATGTATTTGTGCAAATGCCTTTTAAATGTTGTTAATGTACCCATCTCAACCACTTCCGCTGGCAGCTCATTCCATTCTCTGTGTAAAAAAAGTTGCCCCTCAGGTTCCCGTGTATTCTTTCCTCTCTTACCTTTAAGCTGATGCTTTCTAGTCCTTGATTCCCCAATGCTGGGTAAAAGACTGAGTGCATTCACTCTATTCATGCCTCTCATGACCTTATCCACCTCTAAAAGATACCCCCCTCAGTCTCCTGCGCTCGAAAGAACAAAGTTCTAGCTTGTCCAACCTCTCCCTATAACTCAGTCCAGTGAGTCCTGGCAACATCCTTGTAAATTTCTTCTGCATTCTTTCTAGTTTAATAACATCATTCCTATATCAAAGTGACCAAAACTGAACACAACACTCCAAGTGCAGCCTCATTAATGTCCTGTACAACTGCAACATAACTTCCCAACTTCTGTTCTCAATACCCTGACTGATGAAAGTTAGTGTGCCAAAACCCTCCTTCACTGCCCTGTCTACCTGTGACTTCACTTTCAGAGAACTGTGCACCTGAACTCCAAGGTCCCTCTGTTCCACTCGCCCCTTAAGCCTTACCATTCACCATGAAACTCCTCTTTCCAATATGCAACACCTCACACTATATTAAACTCCATTTGCCATTTCTTGGCCCACTTCTCCAGCTGATCAAGATAACCTTCCTCACTGTCCGTGATACTGTCTATTTTAGTGTCATCTGAAAACTTACTAATCATGCCTTGTACATTCTCATCCAAATCATTCATATAGATAACAAACAGCAATGGGCCCAGCACCGACCCCTGAGGCACACCTAGTCACAGACCTCCAGTCTGACAAGCATCCTTCCACTATTACTCTCTGCTTCCTACGAACAAGCCAATTGTGTATCCAATCTTCCAGCTCTCCCTGGATTCCATGTGATCTAACCATCCAGAGCAGCCTACCATGTGGAATCTTATCAAAGGCCTTACTGAAATCAGTATAGACTACGTCTACCGCCCTGCCCTCATCAACCTTCCTGGTCACTTCATCAAAGAACTCTAACAAATTTGTGAGGCATGATCTTCCACGCACGAAGCCATGCTGACTACTCCTAATCTGAGGAGTCACGAATGTTGCTGAACATTGTGTCATCACCAGCGGACATCCCCATTTCTGATCTTATGATGAAGGGAAGGTGGTTGGGCCTAGTACACGACCCTAAGGAAAGCCTGCAGAGATGTCCTGAAGCTGAGATTACTAACATCCAACAAGCACAACCACCTTCATTGCATCAGTGAAATAGCTGGATAGAGGCCGGTATTGTGTCACAAAGTCACTCTTTATTTACTTGTGCATGGTGCACTGGCTGTGGCCAGCCAGCTCAAAGTCAGTCGCCTGAACTGAGGAGATTCTAAATCCCCTGTTTATGTTGATCTGCCAGGGCTTCCTGATTGGGATTGTTAACCTGGGCCAATCAAGGATCTCACAGTCAACAAGACCTACCTGGTTCCAATCACTATATCCCCCCCTCCAAGTCTGGCAATGTAGGCCTGGTCTTTCTCTTTTAGCTTTTCCTGTGACAGTTTTGCCCCAGGTCTTGTTCCTCTGACTCGGACTCTGATACAGGCAGCATGTACCAGACTCTTATGTCCGGAGTGTCTCGGGAGAGTTTCATCCTCTTCTTCCAATTGTAGCAGTATTGAGGCTGCATCCATTTCAGACTCTGAGGTTTCCTCGACCCTAGATGGAAGGGGAGAACCTAAGGTTTCTGATGGGCCTTCTGGCTGTTCTGAGGGGTCAGGTATGTTTGGCTCCTGCCCCGGTTGTGAGGTAACAGCTTTCAGGTGATCCACATATATGTTCGGGACTGTATCACCCACCCGAACTTTGCAAGTCACTGGACCTGATCTCGTATCACCCTCGCCTTGTACCCAAACAGGGCCATTCCCATGGTTCTGGCACCAAACTACATCCCCTGAATTAAATCCTCTCCCTCGCTTAGAGGAGGCATTGGTGTTCCTGCTGCTGTTTCTTCCTGTCCCCCTTCCCACCACTGCACCACACCCCCCTCCAAAAGGTCCGGGAACATCAGGTTTAACCTGATGCACAGTATCCTTCCCATCAGCAACTCTGCTGGAGCTATCCCTGTCGTTGTGTATGGGGTGGTCCTATAATCAAACACGAACCAGGACAGTTTGGTATCAACTGATGCTGTAGGCTGTTTCTTTAAGGCCGCCTTCAACGTTTGCCTTGCTCTTTCCACCAGACCGTTGGACGATGAATGATATGGAGCTGTCCTTATGTGCTGAATGCCGTTTGACTTTAGGAAATATTCAAATTCCCTGCTGGTAAATGACATCCCATTGTCCGTGACCAATACTTCTGGGAGTCTGCGTGTCACGAATGATGCTCGCAGCTTCTCAATCATCATCCCTGAGTTTGCTGAATGAACCTTATACACGTCCAACCACTTTGAATGGACACCCACAATGACCAGGAACATTGAGCCCATGAAAGGACCAGCATAGTCAACATGCAACAGAGTCCAGGGTTTACCTGGCCATTCTCATGAACGTGGGGGTGCTGCTGGTGGCAATTTTTGTCCTTGCTGGCACTCTGGGCACTACCCCACTAACGCAGTATGTTGGCATCCAACACTGGCCACCAGATATAGCTTCTTGCTAGCTTCTTCATCTTGAAAACCCCTGGATGACCCATCTCATTCAGGGTTAACCCAAAATCACATGCATCTGCCAGCCATCTCAACCTCATTAAAAATCCCGATATGGATTCCCCCGGTTCTCAAACAGCTGAATAAAACCGATAGTGTCTCTGAATTAGAGGAGGTCTGGGGTCATAATATTCCTTAACCAACTTCGTCAACTCTTGGAAAGTTTTAGTATCTGGGGGCTCTGAGAACGTCAATCTGCTAATAACTGAAAATGCAGCGGGTCCACAAGCAGTCTGAAGGCTTACTTGTTGCTTTGTATCTGCCCCAATGTCATGTGCCCGGACAAAATATCGCATTCTTTCCACATACTAGGCCCAGTCTTCGACAGCAGGATCGAATGAGTCAAACTTCCCAAATAAAGGCATGATGCCAGAAATGCTGAGCCCAACTTCAAGATGACTGTTGCAAGTAATGATTCTTCAGATGTGTGCTGTTTTCCCTCATCACCACTGAAATAACTGCAGAGAGGCTGGTATTCCATCACCAAGTCACCCTTAGGGTGGCATGGTAGCTCAGTGTTTAGCACTGCTGTCTCACAGTGCCAAGGACCCGGGTTTGACTCCAACTTCGGACAACTGTCTGTGCGGAGTTTGCACGTTATCCCTGTCTCTGCATGGGTTTCCTTCGGGTGCTCCAGTTTCCTCCCACAGTCCAAAGACGGCTTAGGTGGATTGCCCATAGTGCCCAGGGGTGTGTAGGTTAGGTTAGGAGGATGGGTCTAGGTGGGATGCTCTTCAGAGGGTCAGTGTAGATTTGTTGGGCTGAATGACTTGTTTCCACACTGTGGGGATTCTGATTCGTATACTTGTACATAGTACACTGGCTGTGGTTAGCCAGCTCAGAGTCAGTCTCTTGAACTGGGGAGATTCTAAATGCCCTGTTCATACTGGTCTGCCAGGGCTTCCTTATTGGCTCAGCTTAACAACCCCAAACTAGGATTTCATAGTCAAAAAAGGATCTACCTGGTTCCAATCGCTACTGGTACGACTCAATCCAGCAAAACTGTTTCCCCACTGATTCACCACCACACCCCTCTCCCACCTCCCGATTTCCTATTGATTCCAGTTTAGGGTACCTTGACACTACACTCAGTCAGATGTGGCCTTAATGTCGAGGCTGTCACTCGTGTCATCTGTGGAATTCAGCTTGTTTGTCTATGTGTGAACAAAGCTATAATGGGATCAAGAGCTAAGTGGCTCTGGCTTAATCCAAATGAAACATTTGTGGGCAGTTTATTGCTAACCAAGGACTGCTCGATAGAACTGTTGATGACACCCTCCATTACTTAACTGATGATGGGGCAGTTTTTGCAGGGTTCAATTTGTCCTGCTTTTTATATACAGGACATACCTGGGCACTTTTCTTTCCCCTTTACTAAAAGGCCAAAACTCTGACACCTCTTTCAAATGCTGTACTCCTTAGTGGTTTTCCTTGTCTACTTTACGCAAGTCACGCCATGTGTTCTTCTCCAATAAATCCATCCTACTTTTATTTTATGAACTGTATCATGAGCTCTGGTAATTTCAGCTTTATCTCAGCTCTTGTTCACTTCGTTCAAAATTTGCCATAATCTCTTAATGTGAATTGATGAGTCAGTGGTTACAATCGATTTACTGATTGATTTGGTGGCTTGGCTAGGCTCGATACAGTGCTACTATAAGGATTTAATGCAGATTTCTTGTGAATAATTGGTTTTGTAGAAAATTTTGCCAAATCAGAATACTACAAGTTGGCAATTGAAGAACTCAACAAAAATGACACAGCACTAGAAGCCCTGGGAGCTCCTCCATTGCACATCCGAAATATCAAACTCACTGACAGGAACAATCGTGTGGATGGAATAAGTGCGAGGGTACAGTATTCAGTTATTATTTCTTTTTGTCAACTCTACTTTTGCACCTAAACTACAAGTTGTTTGTGGAGCAGTAACTTCATTTCAGCAGTCTTCTTTCATATGTACATTTTGGTTTTCATGTACCTTGATTTTTAACTTTTACCTTGTCTGTTTCCATCCATGAAGGGAACATGTATTCCTTTTAAATAATGCATGAAGTTTGTGAGTGGATGTTAAGTGGAAACGTAGAATTAGAATAAATGTGTGCCAGTCTGTGGAATCCAGATAAACTAACTCTATTAAATAAACATGTGGCATTGGTTTACAGATTAAAATTCCAGTTTGTGGATCAAAATCAGCTGGATATCTCCACACCTATTCTGTTCGAGATGGTATACAGAAAAGGTAACCTGTAGGCATGTAACCAACTAACTGAATGTTGTTTAAAAATCAGTTTGATTCCCGTAATCAGTAGAACTATGCATATATTCTTGTTCTGTCAGCAAGTGTTATGTTGTGTGAATCTATCTGGAGATGAATATTTTAGACATCATTTTCACACATATTTGAAAGAGTTATCCACAGTTTCTCGGGTTGGCCGACAGACATAAGTGTTTGATTTCAGAGATCGAGGAAACTGAATATAGCCAAGAAATGTGGCAGTTAACAAAATGATTTAATCTCAATGAGAAGGAATTTATGGCCTTTGCAAGTTCTCCACTATTTGCACCAAGTGGAGTAAACATTAGTTATTCTTTACACTGCAATGGTCAGACAAGATGTGATGAAGTTCTGCAGAAATATAATTTAGTGCAGTTATAAACTATGATTTATGCTGCCTCTTGTGCTGATCGTTTTCTTCTGTTGAAAATTTCTGAAGTAGAGAACAACCTGAAAGGGATCAAAGAAGACAGCACAATTTTAAACAGCTATTAGAGTCGTTAGAATAAAACCACTACTACAGGACAGCAGCCGTGTTCAAAGGTGTGCTGTGAGAAAAACTAAATGTTTGGAGAAAAGAAAACACTGCTTATAAACAATGACCAGTATCCAGTAAGAATTCATTTAGATGTGAATGAGATTTGACTGAGATTTAAAGGAATCTCGTGAAATGGGATGCTTGTGAGTTGGATAAGATTCATCAAAAGGAACCAAATCGTGCTTTAGATTCTAAAAAACAGTCTAAGACGTTTCTGGTCAAATGTTTATATTTATTGTTGTATGGGTAGTTTAATTAACCTCGAATCTGTACAAGGTATCATCATTTTTTTGAATGTAGATTGGGTGGCTAAAGATCTTAAATGTGTGCTAGACTTTTTTTTTTGCTTTGATTCTCTGTTTAAAAATCCTGTCCATGCAAAGTTAATTGTTTTGGTCCATGCATTAGTCCACTTGAAAGGCTTTAAGGATTGTCTTGATGGCTTGTTGGATACTTTCTGCATCTTGTAGAAAATGAGAGAGAGAAAATTGGCAAGACCAGAATTGATTTTCAAGCTATTACCTAAAAGTAGTATTTTAATGTCAGCCAGTTACTAGTTTTCTCAACTAATACTGTGTCAGAAGTCCCAGATGTAATCTCTTATCTACTGAGTGAGCTTCTTCAGCCAAGACAATTTTAAGTTCTGCCCCAGTGTGCCTGAATAGGGAATAGAAAAGTTAGTCAGATACCTACTGCTTATTTCTCTTTAATGTCTTCCAAGGAAAATATACAAGTGTGATGTTGGTTGAGGAAAGAATTGAGCTTGACTGTGGTAATCCCCCATGAACGAGCAACTAGCTGATGTACATTCACTTATTTACAAAGATTTGCTATTTGGGGTGCTTGTGGAATGATGGTGATGCCGCTACCTCTGGACTAGGAGGCCTGGGTTCAAGACCCACCCGCTCCAGAGACATGTCGTAACTTCTCTGAATAGGTTGATTAGAAAATAAACAAAAAGCTATTTGGAGATAGTAGGAACTGCAGATGCTGGAGAACCGAGACAACAGGGTGCAGGGCTGGATGAACACAGC